GTGGCTGAGTGGTGAGTGGGTTGAGCGTAGCGAGTGATTGGCTGAGTTGAGTGAGTGGGTGAGTGAGTGGAGGTGAGTGAGTGGGTGACTAAGTGAGCAATGTGATTTACGTGAGCGAGCAAGTGGGCTGACTGAGCGAGGGAGTGGGTGAGCGAGCGAGCGGGTGTGATTGGTGAGTGAGTGGCTGGAGTGAGTGGGTGAGTGAGTGGTCGTGAGTGAGCAAGTGAGTGTAGCTGAAGCGAGTGGCAGTGGCTGAGCGATGTGAGTTGAGCTGGTGAGCGAGCGAGTGGCTGAGTATGCGGCTGTGAGTGGGTGAGTGAGTGAGCTCACCTCGTGCTGTGGCCGCCTGCGAGTGAATGAGTAGCGCAGGAACGTGGAGTGAGCTGGTGAGTGAGTGGGTGAGCGAGTGAGTGAGTGAGTAACGCAGGAACGTGGAGTGCAGCTGGTGAGTGAGTAAGTGGGTGAGTGAGTGAGTGAGTGGGTGAGTGAGTGAGTAGCGCAGGAACGTGGAGTAAGCTGGTGAGTGAGTGAGTGGGTGAGTGAGTGGGTGAGTGAGTGAGTGAGTGAGTGGGTGAGTGAGTGAGTGGGTGAGTGAGTGAGTGAGTAGCGCAGGAACGTGGAGTGAAGCTGGTGAGTGAGTGAGTGAGTAGGTGAGTGAGTGGGTGAGTGAGTGAGTGGGTGAGTGAGTGAGTAGCGCAGGAACGTGGAGTGAAGCTGGTGAGTGAGTGAGTGGGTGAGTGAGTGAGTGAGTGGGTGAGTGAGTGGCTGAGTGAGTGGGTCCGTGAGTGAGTGGGTGAGGGAGTGGGTGAGTGAGTGAGTAGCGCAGGAACGTGGAGTGAAGCTGCTCCTTGTTGAGCAGCGTCAACCAGAGACGACGCACCGGCAGTGCCCATCGGTGGTGGGACCTGGAGCCAACAGCATCATCATGATTAGCAGCAGCACCATCACCACCATCACCACCACCATCATTACCATCATTACCATCACCACCACCACCACCACCCCCACCACCACCGCCACCACCGCCCCCACCACCACCCCCACCACCTCCACCACCACCATCACCACCATCTCTCTGCTTGTGTGTCTGTCTGTGTGTCTCCGTGTCTGTGTTTTGTCTCTCTCTCAAATTTTATTCTACCTGATGACGGTTGCTTGTGTTGCAATCGCAACGTCGTACTCTATTATTTAATTTATTTTCTTTCTACGTGACTTTACAGAAAGAACCAGAGAGTAATTCCTGCAGTCACCAAAGCTTCAAATCAAGTTATAACCACAAACACCACAACCGCACATATAACCACAACCTACTCAACCACAATTATAACCACAACCAAAAACACCAAAGGCACCACAACCAGAGCAACCACAATTACAACCAACACTACAACCACCTATACAACCAAAACTAAAGCCAAGATTATAACCGCAACCACAACAACAACCACCATAACTAAACAACAAAAACATTGATGCAGATACTACACAACCACTGCATAAAGGGTCTTTATCCCTCTGTGGGTGGGTGAGTGGGTGGGTGAATGGCTGAGTGTGAAATGGACTCGAACCTGCACCTCTGCATTGCAAGTGCAGTGAGCTGACGCCCCCCGCGTGTGGAGGGTAAAGTTGTGGGTACACCCACCTCGCTCCAACGGGTCTGGACCAGCGTGGAAGAGTAGACCAAATACTCCACATCGCGGCCTCTAGTGGAGGCCATTTCTGCCACGACAACAAATCCGTCCCTCCAGATACAAAATAACTAAATGTAACTCATCCCATCAGCCACAATCTGGCAGTGCCTCTCCTCATCATCATCATCAGCAGGCCGCGCTCTGCTTGGAGCAGCGCCGTGAACTCAGCAGGCGCCCAGAGCGTAACGGCTGTGAGCCAGGCGCCTCCTCTGCCTCCCCTCTCCCCCACCGCCACTGCTGATGTGTCCACACGGTGCAAGGTTCTCACCTTGTTCGGGCTGAGTCGATGTAGAGGAGGACCAGCCAGCGAGCCGCCGCTTCAGCAGCGACGGTGGCCGCGAGCGGGAATCCAAAACAGCCGCTCGCCACCCACAATGCACAGCGCTGCCTCCACTCGCCCCAGCCTCGGCGGGGGGAGGGGCGGGGGAGGAGGGGGCGGGGCGAGGGGGTGGGCATGGGGGGGAGGGGCGGGGGAGAGGGGGCGGGGGAGAGGGGGCGGGGCGAGGGGGTGGGCATGGGGGGGAGGGGCGGGGGAGAGGGGGCGGGGCAAGGGGGTGGGCATGGGGGGGAGGGGCGGGGGAGAGGGGGCGGGGGAGAGGGGGCGGGGCGAGGGGGTGGGCATGGGGGGGAGGGGCGGGGGAGAGGGGGCGGGGCAAGGGGGTGGGCATGGGGGGGAGGGGCGGGGGAGAGGGGGCGGGGGTGGGCATGGGGGGGGCGGGGCGAGGGGCTCAGGGCTCCACGTCTCGGTGGGCGTGGTCACCTGGTACCGCCCCCTCGTCTCGAGCCACGCGCTTCCCCCTGGCAGTTTGTCCGTGAGAGAGGCGGGGAGAAACTGGCGAAGGTGAGGAGTGGATCTTCGCTGTGGGTGGGTGGTGCGGTGGTGTGAGTCTGTGTGTGTGGTGTGAGTCTGTGTTTGTGTGAGTCCGTGTGTGTTTGTATCCGTGTGTGAGTCTGTGTGTGTGTGGAGTGGTTAACGCGCTGTCAACACCAGTGACGATTATATGAACCGGTCCTGGGCCTCCCCTAGGTCGACTCAGCCTCAAATGAGTACCTAGTGTGGTGTGTAAATATCGCCACTCGGAGACAAAGGCGCGGTGTTGGCCACCCACGCCCTCGTGTGCTGTTCCGGCCTTCATAGGTGATGCTGGCTAACAGCACTTGCTCCAACAGTTTATTTCAGCTATAAGGGGGATCTTTATCTTTGATGTTCGTGGTGGTGTTGGTGGTAGTGTTGTTGGTGGTGTTGTTGGTGGTGTTGATGGTGGTGCTATTGGTGTTGTTGGTGGTGCTGGTGACGGTGTTGATGATGGTGATATTTTTGTTGGTGGTGGTACTGGTGTTATTGGTGGTGATGTTGATGGTGTTAGTGGTGTTGGTGGTGGTGTCGGTGGTGGTTCCAACGATCTATCTTGGGTTTAACCTAGCTGGATTGTGTGAGGAGCTCACAAATCCTTGAAGGATCTGGACACATTCCCACCAGTAAGCGCCTCCGGCAGGCAAGGCTGCGTTGGCTGGGTCTTGTAGCCCGCATACCCAAGCAGTTTATTTTTGGCCGCATAAAGGGGGCTAAACGGCCACGACATGGGTTGTCGAAAATATGGACTGATGCTGTATGGGAGGGTGTTGAGTTGAGTGGACTTGTGAAAGACTGGTACCAGTGGTGTAAATCTCATCCTTCACGAGGAAGCTCATGAAGGAGGCTACTGGACAGTTGGAGGCAGTCTGCCTCCAACAACAACTGAGGGCAGAGGAGTGACGCTCACAACGAGTGGCGGATAAAATTCGGCAAGTTGGCACAGTTGGGCAAACAGCTGGTGTATCTACCAATCATCTCAGCCAACCTTTGGAACCTGGGTCTGTCCCGTGACGTCTTGTCAGCGAGCCTTCGACACTTCGCGTGGCCTGAAAGTGCACCTGGCCTGGCACAGGCGCCGTGGTGACATCATCGCTACTTAGTGGCGAATGTCGGTTGTTGTTTTTGTGTTTCGTGTTGTGAGTGATTGTGTTGATGATGTGGGTTCATGGTGTGCGTCCGCATTGTGACTTGACTCGTGTTGAGATGTGGGTGCCGTCACACCCCCTCGACTCTATGTGATCCTCGGCTTCGTCTCCTGCTTCGCACGCAGAGACCTGGACTGCGCGAGAGACGCTGTTAGTTCTGTGCACCCTGCTCTGCAAGTTGCCACCATGGAGGTACGTGTGGCTCTTCGACTCGTGTGGTCAAGTATTAATGGACGTGTGCTCTCCACTCCGCGTGTGGCTGTCACCTATCCATACACCTAAGTGTGCATCTGCTTGGCTGCCTGAGTGTGTGTGCATCTATCAGAGTATCTCCCCAAGATCCTCTCTGTGTACCTGCCTTTCTACGTTTTAATAATCTACTGTACTTTTATCTATCCACTACTGGATAAAGGCCTCCTTCCTTGAGACCCTGCTACCCCTCACGATCCTGCGATGGAATAATCCACCAAGCACCGATTTTGTCGCTCCATCTTTCTAGCAGCCGTCCTCTCAGACGTGTTCCGATACTTGGCTGCACCTCCGTTATTGTTCTTGACCATCAGCCATCGTTGTTCCTCGTGGTCGTGGCATGTCCTGGCCCAGCCCTACTTCTCTTAACAGTTTGAAGGATGCCATTAATCTGCGTGTGTCCTTTAAATACACACGTGTCTCATTGTTAATCCAAGTGTGACATCTAACATTGGCCAAATATCCGAACGCTGAGAACTGACATCTCAGCAGGATCCTCCTGAATGTGGAGCCCAGGATCTCAGAGATCCTGGCTCAGTGCTTGCCGCTTGCACTATCCCCCACATCTTGCTAAAGCCTATGTGGTGGACCTTTGTGTGCGTGTAGATGAGCCAATCTGGAGAGGCGAGGAATAAGGGCGAATCTTGTACCACGTGGAGGGCGCTGTCCTCAGAGGGCACCGCCTCCATCTGCATCAAATCACCGCAAGGTAAGAACAGGAATGAGGGATGTCACAGAGGGCCATGGTGAATGGTGGAACATCCCGATGGCCATGTTGCATGGTGGATGTCACAGTGGCCATGATGCATTGAAGATTTCATAGCGGCCATGATGCATGAGTGATATCCAGGTGGCCAAGTTGCATGGGGGACTTCATGTTGGCAGTGTTGTATGGGGGACTTAATGGTAGCCATGTTGCATGGGGGACTGCATCATGGTGGCCATGTTGCATGGGGATGATTATTTGTGCTCTGGCCTCAGCACATCACACGCTTTCAGATGCGCTTCCGATATTAGGAAGCCACTGGAGCGATACACTTTTAAATCATCTAGATTGAAAACTCATTTCTTGAGAACTTATTTGGGGCATCAAGTCCGATTTAGTTACATTTAATTTGTATCCCGAAGCACCTCCATATTCCGTCACTAAGGCCAGAACGGCGGGGAATGAGGCCTCCGAATTTGGGTGATGAGCAGGCGTCGCCACCCCACGCCAGCAGGGGGCGGCATAAGGGTAGCCGGTTCGTGAAGACCTGGCCCACGCCGCCTGGAACAGTGGAGAAGTATCAAGAAGCGTGATAAGGGAGGGTGGCTTTCTACAAAGGGGTAGGAGTGGTCCCTTCATCGCGCCTTCTTCTCTCGTGATTAGACTGCTCTTTCTCTCCATCGCGACGCTCAATGTTTACTTTCAGTCGGAACGCTCCGGATCGCTACACCGGGAATAATTTTGCACTCGCACTCACCAGCGTGGTGAAATATTATCAAATGACCCCCATTGTTAACGCGACGTACGGGAAGGGCCTTCATCCGTTGTGCTGAGAATGACTGGAATGGATTTTATTTTTGACGCATGCTGCAGTATCCTGCATTTGGGGAGTGGCAGTTTCTTGACAGTCTAATTGGGGACAGTGAAAACACAGGAGTTGTCAGATATTGCCACACTCGGAATGAGGAAACTGAGAAGTGATGGGAGTGGAAGTGGAGGGCATTTGTTCCAAAGAGGACGTCGCCGATACGTTCCACGTCCTCATTGGGGTTTCCTTCTGGCTCCCCGTGCGCGACCGTGAGGCTGAGATCGCCCGAGTCTTGGGCCATGCGACCCGCGCTCTGTGGTGGCGACATGTGGGCAGAGAGCCGCGTCACTCAAACAATTGCTCGGTCACCAACTCAAGAGGACAGAGATCCCTCCCATCGCCTCAAGAGACCGCCGGGGCAAATGTTGCGAGCGAACATCTGCTAAGGCCGGGACGGCACATGAGGGGGTGAAGTGGCCAGCACGGAGTGGGTGGCCAGAACTAGGCCCGGCTCACTCTGTCTCCCCAGTGATCAACCCTTGCCTCCATTCGGACGAATGGCCAAGTGAGGGAACAGCTGATGGGAAGCAGGTGGCCAGGGTGGGTTGATGAACAGTCAGCTGGATGAGTTCTGAACATGTTGCAGGTTGGTGTGTAGAGACAAGGGTTAAAGGGTGACCGATAATAACAAAATGTGAAAGCTGCCTTCTGTTTACCCAGGAGAGCCCTACTGAGTCTTAAGACATTATCAGGAGGCTCCCGCTAAATTGGAATGTTTGGCCAATTGAATGGAGTGGTGCATGTGGGAAGAAACGGTACCAAGTAGAACGCCATGCATATGACAAGGATGTACCTCAATGATACGGATAGATGGAATCAAGAATCCATCGATGCACGCCTTCGACTAGTCATCTGGTGGCCTAAGCCCACAACACCCGGTATTCCCAGGGAGTCTCCCATCTAAGCACTAAGCCCAGGCCTGCTTACTCTCCCAGAGTCAATGAGATTGTGTGGTGTATTCAAAGCCATTGGGTTGAAGGTAATCGACAGGCAGAGCGAGTGGTGGGCGCGTGGATGGCAGTACTAGCGGCTGATGTAGACCGCTCTGATTGGATAGAGGTGATCGAGCCAGATGATTGCGTAAGGAGTAGCAGAGTGGTGCATCGTAGCCGTGATCACACATCGAGTCGTCAAGCAGGTATTGTGTGCAATGCAGTAGAAACCAGTTCTGAACTGTCACACCGGTGGTGAGAGGCTGCTGACTTGGGGATGTTTGCTCCAGCTCCAATTCGGAGTTGGGCCAACTGTAAGAAGAGAGGCCGCACACTCGAACTTGGGCTGGCCATGACCATTTTACCAGTGGTCGAGATCCTCCCGCGAGCTCAGGGAGGCCGGCTCGGGGTGCTGGCACTGTAAGTCGGCCACGGCGAGGGTCTGGAAGTATGGGGATGTCTGCTACGGGCGGCCGCCAGACGGGACGCCGGGTCGCTGTGCGGCAACGACGACGACGGGGAGGACGATGATGAGGGCGACGGGTGCGAGCAGCAGGGGCAACAACTGCGACAGAAAAAACTGATGAGGCATTGGCGCTCACATAGCGGATAGCGCACCACGTTCCGGACCTGGCGAGCCGAGTTCGAGTCAATCTCACGGTTAAGAATGGCAACAGCAAACATCACAACCGATTCCCCATCTTCCTGTGCGCTTCTCGTGATCACCTGGCTTATAATAGTTGCGCATTTACAAATGTACCAACTTACTTAGATTCAGATGAATACGAGAACCTGGTGTGGCATGTAGTGAACGTCAGCACGGGGGAGACGAAGGCAGCCGGCCATGGCTCTGGTCACACCACCTCCCTTGTGTGCAGTGCCGTTCTTCATAGGTGCGCACTTGACCTCATATTCTGTGTAGGCTACAAGTGTGCAAGTGTGTGCAAGTGTGTATATACAATGGAGTGTAGAGAGTGGAAAGTGGAGAGTTTTCTAGATCTGGGCAGTGTGCTTATGATCAGCTCCGGTTTGACAGCAGAGTCTCACTCTGAATCAGTCAGGCAGCATTATATATTAATCGGCTGTCTATATCTTCTTGGTTCTTTCGGTAAAGTCACGTAGAAGGGAAGTAATAAAATAATAAAAATAAAACATAATAAAACAATTCTCACGACTGTTTCGGCCACAACGCAAGCAGCCGTCCTCAGGTGAAAACCAGGTCCGTCGAGGCGACAGAGTCTGAATGAAACAGCACACGAGCTTGGAGCATATATATAAGCTGGGCGCATTGACAAAGGAATTTGCATATCAAAAGGAATTTAGCATATTTATGGGAAATGCAGGAATGTGATTAGTACTGCATATGCATGTGCATTATGCAGGATTAACAGCATCAAAGGGAGCTGCAGTTACTGCTGCTGCAGCAGTTGCTGCTGCTGCAGCAGTTGCTGCTGCTGCTGCAGTTTCTGCTGCTGCTGCAGTTGCTGCTGCTGCTGCAGTTACTGCTGCTGCTGCACTTGCTGCTGCTGCACTTGCTGCTGCTGCTGCAGTTGCTGCCTTATCCATTTTAATATAACACTATGTATTATTCTACCCACCCTAATGTGTATCATACTGCTATATGTTTACTGTACAATTACGACCCCATACATTACTCTGCACACTGCACCATGCCAGTGAGTGGAACGCGGTCTGAAAGTCACCGTTAACGTGAACACAATCAGTTAAGATCCGAAATGGTTTATTACGTCCTTCCAATGATTGCTAAGCCAGAATCCATCTTCTCGGTTGAAATTGTCTCTGTGTTTGTATATGTGGATCGCCTCATGAACGAATCTCTCATGATAGCCAGATGGCTTGCAGAGAACCTCTGTCAATGTCATGTGAGCCCACTGAATTGTAACAGTGATCTGCCACGGCTGAGGTGTTTGTCCTACCGTGTTTCAGGTCTGCCTTATGTTCACGGATGCGGTCCGAGACATGTCGTTTGGTTTCTCCAATGTAACTGCTACCACAAAGGCAACTTAGTTTGTAGACGCCAGGGTACTGTATGTCTGGAACCACATCTTTTACAGACGGGACCAGATCACGGATTTTATGTACTGTGTTGAATCGGACCTGGATCTTGTGTTTAATCAGGATTTTGGAGATCTTTTTTGTGACCCCAGCAATGTAGGGTAAGGTGATGGAGCTTAGTTAAGCTATGATGAGTCTGACCGTGGCCGTGGTTCCTCTAACCACCTGGACTTTACCAACTGCGGATTTGCCGACCATGACATTTTCCAGGAACCTAACCCCCCTGGGTTGGCAAGGGATTTCTGTATTTAGCAAGTAGGTTTGCACAGCCAATATGATACATTGCTTTGATTCTCATTCGTTGTTCCTGTGGAGTCATGACAGCTGTTTTCGAATCCGGGCAACGTCATGCTGACTTCCTGCAACTAATGCTTGATGCCATTTAAAGCGATGCGTTGCATATATTTCACTGTTAAATCTGGTTGTATGGATTGTGTTTCAGCTTACCAATAATACTGGCTGCGCAACCGAGGCACCAAGTTAACTCGCTCACATGTGGATGTCCCTACAATGAGTTGCACAACCAGTTACGTAGAGTAAGCGGCAGCCTGTACTCCTGTTGAGGCCGCTGGCCCCCGAGGTCTCTCTCTGGGCGCCGACTGCAGGGGCCCCGTCGTTTCCCGACCCCTCGCTGGTATACAAACAGCTGCTGCCGCCGCTGGGCTCATCGCTCGCGGGATAAGGGCTGTCGCCCGACGGCTCGCACCCCCGCGAGTTCGCGAGAGAGGCATGGCTCGTCACCGGCTCCCGGACGCCTATAAACACTGCGTTGCTTCTCCGCCAATCAAACGCACCGCCTCCCCCACACAGCCCCAGGCAGCAATCACACGCTCTGAACGGGGGGTCAGGGGTCGGAGGGCGAATGACGTTGCTCGCACATGCGCGGCCGCCGCGAGCGGGTGATAACGCTCGTTTAAAGGGGCCGTGGAACAGGTGTTTACGGTGGGTGTGAGCCCTCACACAGCACAAGTCTCCACGGCGACAGAATGGAGCGTGCACCCGTGGAAACACCGACCACCTCACGTTACGAGCGCACACACACACAGCACCACTTTCACCCGCTCGTCCGAACCACACGAGGCTGCGATGGGTTATTAATGATTTATTATCAGCCGACTGTGATTCAC